CAAATCCCAGATCATCTCATCTCATCCCTTACCTTACCTTAGGCATCTTTCTCCAATATTATTTTTTTGCTTCTGCTATTGATTGCTATCGTGTGTAACACATGTAGTGTGTTACACCATCATCAGTCTAGGAAAAAAGTATACACAGAGAGACACATATTACCTCTTCTCCTCCACGTAAATATGTAAATATGGAATATGTATAACCCTATTTCGCATGAGAGCAACTTACAATGTAGTGCATAGTATACATACCCCTTTGAACATTTAATTTGGCAGTTACGTAACCTACCTGTTACTCTGCAGGTATACCTTTTTGCAAATACAACAACAAGGCTTCTTGAGAGTGGAATGGACAACATCTCGGTAAACAAGTATGAACAGGTCGTTTTCTTTTTTTTCTTTTTCTTTTTTTCCCTTTTTTTTTTTTTTTTTCTGGAAATACACGGGACACTTTTTTCTTACAATCTGAAGCAACCCCCCCCGTTTACACATCTTTCAATGAAGTGAGAGTAAAATTGTACTGTGAAAAGTCTTGTCGGTCTAGTAGTAGTCTCTCAAAAATACAATTAAAAAAAAAACAAAAAAAACCGCACACTGAAAAGAAACAACCACTCAGCCAGCAAGAACTCTCTTTCCACCATCATTTGTTTCCGCCCTCTTTAATAGAATATACGCGCTGTTACTTAACTCACTAATACCACGCCTTTCCATCCCAAAAAAAGGATATTGTATGCAATAAAACCTGATTCCTGTGTTTCCACTTCTCCGTAAACTCCATTTACCCATGCGTAATAAGAAAAAGAAAAACTTGATAACCGCTTCAGCGTCTGTAGGGGGCTTGGCTCATGTGTGGCGCCCGCCATTCGACAGACCCTTCATGGCCTTCGCTGATAATCCTCGCCCTTTCTCCCGAGTCAACCACCGTCCCAACCAACCTCGTACCTCTAGGATGAAATCGCACGTAACATCATGGCTCACTCCGTGTGTTGTTATTATGCGCTCGCCCAAGGCGGTACCAGGCCTGACGGGCTTGCACATACTGGTTGTCTTCCTCGTGTAGTTGGTGAATACGCGTCCTGAGAAATGCATGTTCAGACATGAATGCCAGGGGGTTCAAAGCCAAAGGCCCATGCCTCTCAACGAATCGGTGCCATCTGAAAGCCAAGGCCCAATATCGCCTCTGCAACTGAGCATGCCACTGGCGTAACCCCCAAGTTTGAGAATTCTAGTTCTCCCCAAGAAGTCGGGCGGTGATATCGCCCATATAAGCCTCTTCAAGCTCGTAGTCCTCGCCTCCGTTGCGATCGATACCCACATATTGGAAGGCGTCCACTACAGCCTCGACGTCGAAACCCATGTTAACGAATCGGTCGACAAGGTCTTTGCTGTATCCTTGGTACCTGCCACGTTTGTCTTTGTCAGCACTGTCTTTGTCCTTTTCATCCACCCCCTTCGTACCTAGCTTGAGCATTGACCACTGGTGCCGCGGCGGGCTTGTAGTTGTGCTTGGGCTGTTCCCTCCTCGGCGCCCCAGCATGCATGACAGCCCAGTCGTGGGCCTTTTGAGCGAAAGCGTCCGGCTGTTCCATCATCATCTTGGCAACTTCGGCGTCTTGCGGGTCCTTAGGGTTCGGGGTCTCGAGAAGCATGCGGAGGGAGATGAGCGCCATCTTTATCGTGCCGACAGGTGACCAGCCGGTGCCAAGGATGTCGAGGCAGATTGCTCCCTGGGCAGATAAGAAACAACAAGTTAGTTCCTCATCGCTCTATTGCCATACTCATTGCTACCCGCCCCGGCTGCGTGTCCCGAACGTACCGTCACACTGCTGACATTTGGATGCCAGATTTTCGTCTCGAATTTCATGATGGGGGATTTGAACGGATATGTATCCGGGATCTGGATATCGACAGCAAAAGTGCCCCCGGCGTAGGGCGTGTCTGGAGGTCCTGGGAGGGTGCCCCGGAGATGGGTGAAGTTGGAGGGGTCGATTAGTGTTGCCGAGACGCCCGAGTGGTCCGAGTCATTCTGAAGGTCGGACAACTCCTTCAGAACCCGACGCTCGCGAGTGGAAGTCATGGCTGGCTGGTGTGGTGAGCCGAAGGTAACGAAAAGGGTGGAGGGGTTCGGTTTATGAAGTGTCGGGCGTGAGGGTCTCGGATGGCGGGGTGAAGACGAGCAAACCCAAGGCTGTGGAGGGGTAACGGGGCAAAAAGTGGCAGCATGCGGCTCCGTCGAGAGATTTTTAGTTCTGTTTGCAAAGGCGGCGGCACTCTTGCCGCATCAACTGGATTGGGTTATTAGAATGGCTATACGGAATAAAAGCGGGTTGGGCGACAAGAGAGTGGAATCATGAAAGCATAACGGCCAAAAAGTGGTGCTGGCTGAATAGAGAGAGGGACACTGTGAATGTCTCCACCGGAGAGGTTGGAAGAATGAGCGGAGGTGTGAGCTGACCATCGGGCAGGTAAGGTTCAATCCGTAGGCTCCCACCTCGGTCAAACGACGAAACTTTCAGCTGCACGGATCAGAGGGTTCCAATGAGCACGGAATCCGCCCTGGAGTGAATCTAGACCTTCCCCAACCAGGTAACCCAGCCCACCTCTTTCCACCGTGACCCGGACACTTAGATTTGGTAACTTAAAAAAGTAGTATTGTTCAAAGAAAAACAACTGCTCTTCTCCTTGACGTTGAACATTGAATATGTTCTGGAATCAACGCCCTCCGACATCACGTCAGCAGCAGCAAGTTCCCGTCAATAACCTTGATGGCAGCAAGGCTCCTGGCCCAGGCCCGTGAATTCACTGGCGGGGCAGATACTGTCATTTCGATTGGGCAGATAAGCTATGCCAAGATCAAAGACCCTGTCGCTTTAACTGGCCTGTGCGCCATCTTTCGCGTCCCACTGCCGCCTGGCTGAGCAGCAGGCGACTCCCAACGAAGCAAGTTGCAGAGCTTCAGCTTCAACTGCATCACCATCCCAGGAGCAGCAACCTCCACACCCTCCAACCTCGAACTTTACCCCACCATCCCAGAACGCATCACCAGCAATCACCAGAAACACTGGGAGCTGGGTTTACTGGTTCTGTCCTTAATTCCGATACTATTTCTATTACATCACTCAGTCGACTGAGGTCCCGCATTCAATATGGTAACCACCATCAATCTGGAAATCCAGTTGCCCAATCATCTTCTAACAGCCGGCAGGGTCAAAATCAGTCGGGAATGGGTGGCATGGGCGGTGGCCAGGACGGAAAGAATGATAAGGATAAGAAGGTCAGCTCTCCCGATGAACACATTGCCCTGGACATGACTTACTGACCTGGGAGTTCCAACCAACAGAAGGAGAAGCCCAAGTACGAGCCGCCCCCGAGACCCACCACTCGCATCGGCCGCAAGAAGAAGAGAGCCGGTGGCACCAGCGCTGCCGCAAAGTTGCCCCCCATCTATCCCACCAGCAGATGCAAGCTCCGATTACTGCGCATGCAGCGTGTCCACGACCACCTGCTGCTCGAGGAGGAATACGTCGAGAACCAAGAGCGCCTGCGAAAATCCAAGGCGGCCAAGGAAAGCAACGCCCCTACTTCAGAGCCCGAGGCTGCTGATCGCAATGCCGACGAGCGCGGTCGGGTCGATGACATGAGAGGCAGCCCCATGGGTGTTGGTACCCTCGAGGAGATGATTGACGATGACCACGCCATCGTTTCCAGCACGACTGGGCCTGAGTACTATGTCAGCATCATGAGTTTCGTCGACAAGGATCTTCTTGAGCCCGGCGCAAGCGTCCTTCTGCATCACAAGACAGTCAGTATTGTTGGTGTCTTGACGGACGACGCGGATCCCATAGTCAGCGTTATGAAGCTGGACAAGGCACCCACAGAGTCATATGCAGATATTGGTGGTTTGGAGCAGCAGATTCAGGAAGTGCGGGAATCAGTGGAGCTGCCACTTCTGCACCCCGAGTTGTACGAGGAGATGGGTATCAAGCCGCCCAAGGGTGTTATTCTCTACGGCGCACCAGGTACCGGAAAGACGCTTTTGGCCAAGGCCGTCGCAAACCAGACTTCTGCCACATTCTTGCGCATTGTTGGTAGCGAGCTTATTCAGAAGTATCTCGGTGACGGTCCTCGGTTGGTTCGCCAGCTCTTCCAGGTAAGCAAATTCGGCCACGTTCTTGTGCACTCAGTCCATGTCTAACATTATGCAGGTTGCCGCAGAGAACGCCCCATCCATCGTGTTCATCGACGAAATCGATGCCATTGGAACGAAGCGGTACGAGTCAACATCAGGTGGCGAGCGCGAAGTCCAGCGCACCATGTTGGAACTTCTCAACCAGCTTGACGGCTTTGATGACCGTGGTGACGTCAAGGTCATCATGGCCACCAACAAGATCGAGTCGCTTGATCCTGCTCTGATCAGACCCGGTCGTATCGATCGCAAGATCTTGTTCGAGAATCCCGACCAGAACACTAAACGCAAGATCTTCACCCTACACACCAGCAAGATGTCGCTTAATGAGGATGTCGATTTGGAGGAGTTTATTGCGCAGAAGGATGACTTGTCTGGTGCAGACATCAAGGCCATTTGCTCAGAGGCTGGTCTGATGGCTCTCCGTGAGCGCAGAATGAGGGTGGAGATGGCAGATTTCAGAGCTGCCCGCGAGAGAGTGTTGCGGACGAAGCAGGAGGGCGAGCCTGAGGGCTTGTATTTGTAGTCTTGTTGTATCTGTATGGTGCGACGAAGAGATTGAGGAGAAGGCGACTGAGGCCAGCGCACTTTTTGACATGGACGAAATGAACTTGCATTGTGCGTTGGTAGAATGCGGAAACAGTTTACACTGGTCTCTTTTTTGTGTCTTTTCTGATTCCGTGTATTCCAGTAAATGTGTGGCCATTGATGGTGATGTTCCCTTTTCCTTTTTTACCAGGCGGTTCGATCGGTTTGTTCTTGGATGCAATTAACCGAATGGCAATTCAACAATCATGCAGCCCGTGAAGCAGGGAGCTTGGCTCAGTTGGAAGAGCGCAGGTCTCATATTTCGAAATATGATCCAGCTTAACGCTGGAGTAATCCTGAGGTCGTGAGTTCGAGCCTCACAGTTCCCACAAATTTATTTTATAACTTTTACTTTTGCCATTTTCTGCCCAATTCTTTTTGTTATTATTGTCTGCTGCAGATTCTTGCCCCCCAAGAAATATTCTTTTTTTTTTCTAAACCAAAGTAAATAAACAGACTTCATATGTGTCACGGTGTGTATGTAGTATATGTATATATAAAACATTTGGGGCCAAAAAGAAAATGGGGAAGGAACTCTTGAGGCTTCGAAACTCACGACGACTTTCCTGGGTTGATTTATTTTTCTGCTTGTTTTGTTTGTGTAGTGCAGTGTAGTGCAATACAATCAGATCATATTTCATCTTCTATTCGTTAAGTATGAGATATGATGCGTCTCAGTCTTCTTACTGAGCTACTTGCTCCCTGATCGAATGGGGTTGAGATTTTGATGAAATTTTTTTTTTTTGGGGGCAGGTTATAATATTTTGATATTTTTGTATCTAGCGAGATATAAAGTACGTTGTGAGTGGGCGGTGGTGAGATTTGTGGGTTGAAAAGAAATCCCGGTTGATCGGCGGCGTATAGTTGAGTGTATACTAAGCTTAGTGAGGTTTCTCGAGTTGCGCCGCAGCTTTCTTTTTTTTTTTTCTTTTTTTTTTTTTTGGGGGGGGGGGGGGGGGGTTTTTTTTTGGGGGGGGGGGGGGTTTTAGCGGTTTTAATTTTGTTTTTAAAAACACAGGGTTTTTGGGGGTTTTAAATTGGAGAGTGTATTTTTTTGGGTGA